TGGGCATTGTACCCATTCTTTCGGTAATTACCCACGTCGGTCGTCCCGATCGGAGTCCGCGCGCGCGCGCCTGCGCGCGCCCTTCTGGGGAATCGGAGCGATGCGCGCCCAGGCCTCTGTGGGCCCCAGAAGCGGCCAGGCCGTTCTTCCCGCCATTTCCGAAACCGTGCCTCATGAGCACGGAAGCGGCACACAAAACAAATCAATCACACTTGGAGACAGCCACCAGGAAACGGCTCCGGACTTGGAGCCGGGGAGCCGGCAAGCAGACGGCGACGGAGAACCGGAAAACAGACGGCGCCAGAGCCGGCAACAGAAAGGGCAGAACGAAACCGGTAACTTTGTGGATGCCATGGCATTGGACACCCCAACAGTCCTATCATCGAATTTCAACTGTGTTTAAACTGTCGGGAGACTGTTCTAAGCATGTTTCAAGCATGTTTCCTACATGTTTAACACATGCTTCAGACATCTGAGCATGATTTGGCAGCATGCTTCCTCTCCACAGATCGTCCTCCTCAACCGTCACAAAAGCGGCCCCGCCGTTTCCAGGGCCCACGGAGGCCCAGGCCCCGCGCCGCTTGTCGGTGGCTGCGCGCGCAAGCCAAGCGGGCAGCGGCTCGGCGCCCCGCCAGGCCACCCCGGCGGGTGGCCGCGCGTCGGCGCGATTTTTTTGGGGCTCGCGAGAGCGGGGCCCCAGCGCATCGGGAAGCGATCCTCTGCACGTCGTGCATGTCGGGCTGGGCGAAAGGGGGGGATAGCCAAGGGGAGGGTTTAAAAATCAGCTCAAGTAGCTGATTTTCCCGGCGCCTCCCGGCGCCGGAGGCGGCCATGTATCGAGGAATGCGCCCCTCGGTGGGGCCGAAACCAGCTACATGCAACAAATTTCGTAACCCCCCCTTTCCCTATCCCCCCCTTTCGTCCGGCCCGAGCAGGGTCAGATGGGGGAGGGGGGGCAACATGCCGCAGAACAGGGCAGGCATGAGCCCAGAATAGCTACAATGGGCGCGCCAGCGCCAGCATGTGTAGCCCAGCTGGCACAGCACCAGCACATCTGCCAAGTGTGCACGAGATTTAGTGGCAGAGCCGACGGAGTCGAAAGTGCAGGTGCCCAAATGATAACTCCGTTCTGCAGATGCCCAAAGCGATGCCTCCATCTCGCACGCCGTATCGTTGCCTCAACGCGCAAGCGGACCTGGAACTCCAACTAGGGCCCCATGTTATGCGCAATCAAAGAATTGGAGCTGCGTGCGTAGGGGTAGGAAAAGGAGGAGGAGACGGAAGAGGAGGAGGAGGAGGCGGAGGAGGAGGGATGAGAACGAGGACGAAAGGCAGCAACAAGAGCAGGAACTGAAGTGAAAGGAGCGGGATGAGCAGAAGGACCGGGGGAATGCGGAGGAGGGGAATGGAGGGGCCGACAACTGTGAGCAGGGGCTCGGATCCAGAAACGTGGCCCACGCTGGGGCGAGAGCGCCATTCCGAACGACGGGAGCAAACGCCCGATCCTACAGTGAGGCCCACGCTGTAGCGGGAGCACAATGATGGAAGGACCGAGCACGTCCGGATTTGAACCGCACGATAGAACATTAACTCGGACCCGTTCTGTGTGAAGGAACAAGTGCGCGGAGGGGGGCGCGCGACTCTTAGGCCGTCTTCGGGGGAGAGAGAAAACCAGCATCTATGTTGAATAATTCTGTGTCTCCCCGTCCTTCTTGCCACAGAGGCTTGCCAGATGTGGTCCGCGTCAGATGGGGTCGGAGGATCGCGACGCATCGCCGATGCATCGGCAATGCATCAGCGACGTCGGCGGTGCGTCTGCGACGCCAGCGCGGAGAAAACCGCGCTCCACATCGAGCTGCATATGCGATGCACCTGTGATGCGGCGCGATCCCTCGACCCCATCTGCTGGAACCCAGGCCAGCAGGCCTAGGTCCCCAGCTTTCCCTGCACTGTTTCCCTCGGGGCCGTAGCCGACCCGAGGATGAGGAGGAGGAGGAGGAGGAGGAGGAGGAGAAGGAGGACGAGGAGGAGGAGGAACTGCCACCTCCTGCACGACAACCACCGCCGCCACCACCTGCACCACGACGACGACTTTACGCACGACAACTGCCACGACCGCCAGCCCCACGACCACGCCCAACGCCGGCACGACAACCACCACGAACACCACCAGCACGACAGCGGCGCGACCACGACCACCAACACCACCGACCCGACCGCCTCCGCCCCGGGCCACACCTCTCATTTCCTCTCCCCGCCCCTGCCTGGCCGCCCCTGCTGCCGCACGCGCCTTGCGCCTCCTCCCTTTTCCTCCTCCTCTGCTGCTGCTTCCCCTCCCCCCTAAGCCCCTTGCGCGCTGGCTGGCCGGCACAGAAGGCACGGGCAGCCTTCCGCCCGCGTCGCAAACCGGGGCCTGCCTCAAGACGAGGCTGGCCCGGGGCGCACTGGACCGTGGACGGTCCCCCTCTGGGCGGCCCCCAGAGAGCCAGTGGGGGCGCCA